GTAGCAGTTCATGTGTTTCAATGCAAAATATTGCTGGAACTGTGCATGTATACTTGTGCATGTATTTTGCTGTCATAAAATGTTCTTGTCTTTGATTTAACGTACGTGGTACTAGGACAGCTAGTGAGCAACCCTGTCTCTCAAACATTTTCAGTGAGTTACCAGTACAGTAATTTGCAGTTCACAGTTGATACAGAAAATCCCTCAAATATTGACTTAGTCTTTCCACAATGACATCACAGTAGCGATGTGCGTATTTTACATGTAGTTCAGGGGCTAATTTCATAGAGCTGCTTAAGCACAAAATTAGCTTAAGCGCGAAAAAAACCTTGCTTGATAAATCAGGTTACCAGCCAAAAGTATGTGATGTATACTGTTCTGGAATTATTTTTACAGTACATGTAGCTGTCTTTTGGTTAGCATGACAATCAGATAGAGTTTGAGCTGGTAACCTTTGGTTTTTTTTTTGTGCTTAAGTAGCTCTATGAAATTGGCTCCAGTTGATATTATTTCCACAGTGTTCGGAAATAAATTGCGTCCATGTACCTGTAATGTACATGTATTCTTAAATATCGCATTATACAGTGAGGTCTCTGTGCACTTGAGAGTCAACAGGTACAAGTATAGTCTGCTAACATGGCTAAATCGTTTCATATTTGGGCAGTTTTGATGTGGTACATGTACATGGCAAAACATTGTAATACCGGTAAATGCATTGAGAAATAAGGTTTAAACAGGCAGTGAAAACTGTTGGGGGAGGGCAGGAGAAAAACCCATGCGGACATGGGAGCCTTATACAGTACCAGTGCATACATGTGCATGACCAAATCTGGACATGTACATGTACCGGTACATGTACATACATGTACTGGAACGTACGTGTACTGGTACATACACACCGGTATGTACTAGTGGTGACTGTAATCATGAATTGACCTTGCTTACATGTACATGTACATGTACAAGTCAGCCATATTGAATTGAAACACTTTATTTTGGGAACCTAAGAAAAAATATGGTACCTGTGTTGTGAAATTACATGTACACAGCATATTGATTATTGGTTGTTACACTGTACCGTAGTTAATGATTTGCAATCTGTAAACGGTAACCTGACAGCATGCGGCGGGATGGTCTGTGTGCTTTGGCTGTGGGTACCATCTAGATCCTGTTCATTTACAATGTACAGTCATGACAGTATATACATGTATGTACATGTACATCATGCCCTATCAGTCACTGCATGCACTTGAATGAGAACAGTGCCAATTTTTTTGCAACGCTACTGCCCTCTTGTGATGGTGAGGGAGCGTGAAAGTTGCTATTGCCACACAGGATTTTCTTGTACATGTAAATATTATGATCAAATTTTTTTTTTTTTGGATAAAAACAGCGTTGCATGTAACAAGTGTAAATAGGTGTTGTAAATTAAAGATTGACAGTTGTCGTTCTGACTTTCTACTTGGTAAGAGTAAGAACTGTGTTCAGCCTCCAGGAGTAAATCACTGTGTAAATCCATGTGATCGTCCCTTTAATTTGTAATGTCTGACAGACAAACTCGCCACAGTATTAAAGCAATTAATAAGAGCTGATTATGGTAAGAACGAGCATATTTCACATGCACTGTGCACGTACTAGTACATGTACATGTACATATATGTACATGTACTTGCACTGACTCACTTAAAGTGGGGTACCCGGTACATTTCATGTGCATGTAATACCAACACAAGCACTTGTGAATACTGTACTAAAAGTACTTACATGTACTGTGTTATAGTACCTGTCCTTGGGAGTGGTACATGTACATGTACAGTATATAAATGTAATTGTGGCCCACATGATACAAGAGCATGCTTGAACTGCTGTTTCATGGTATGGGTAGCACACTGCCACTAGTTTACTGTAATTGGCACCTGAAAGTGGAGACTAATAATATTGAGTGTTTGGCCACAGGAATCAACATCTTTTTTCCCCTCCTATTGTTCTCAAGTCCAGCCATGCATTGAGCTACTTATAGTTTAGTACCAGTTTGTAAACAGGTGGTCACACCATTAGGCATGTTAGGGCTGTTCAGTATTCCAGAGATCTCCTGGATCTATGTAAATTGCATGCATTGTGTGTGCTTGCTGATGTAGACTGATTTGATTTGATGCGCCCACATTTGTACTTCCCTTGTTGACCATCTGCACAGAATCTGGATTTCACTGTGGACTCAGTCTACATGGTCTAATGCACAGTATACATACAGTGTATACATGCTGTACAATGTTTATTGTTCATTATTAATACATTTATACATGTACATGTATGTACCTCAAATTAGCCAAAATGCTTGTACTGTACTTGTATCCCCCCCTCCCTGGTGGATTTTGGCTCATGAGATAAAGAAACTCTGTTGGAAGATTCAGGACTGCATTATACAGTACATGGATACACGTACCTGCATAGTACCTGTAGGTCAAACCAACGCTTTAAATAGCACCTAAATCAGTCGCAAATGTGACCAAAATTTTGCTCATGCGATCATATTTTCACCATCCAGTCGCCAATTGCCACGTACAAGTATATTTGAACAATTTTGAGTATGCTTAAAAGCAATGACTATGTACTCAAAGTTCGTTCCAGAAAAGTAGAAATGGCAGGGCAAGTCACACCAAGTGCGCGTGCTGTACATATACAAGTACCATACTTAACATGTATATGTGTCGCGATCACGCGCATGGTTTGTTTGGTTCCCAATCTAAACATACGTTGTTGATGCACTGTATACGGACACCAGGGCCATTCTACAAACCACGGCATAGCACGGGCTCCATTTTTTGCTGTTTTTTGCTGCAATGTAAATGAAACCCGAAACGGAGCTCATGCCGGAATTAAAGGGGGCCGCTGTGATTTTGAGTGTCAGAAATAGCACAATTCATGCAGCAGGGTGTCCTACGACACTGAAACTACGGACGTCATAACGTCCGTGGCTGAACCGTTGGCAAAAACCCTGATTTCGTGGATTCACCTCATTGGCCCTTGTATGCAAGTTGTGTGGTGGACGTATGCCGCGCCAAGTCATGATTCTTCGGCATGGATGGACAATGTAAACACAGGGTATTTATACTACATGTGTGTACGTACGTTCATGAATATTCAGCACACGTGATTACTAAATTTTCATAAAAGTGCTGGCGCCTAGATTTTCCCCATTGGTAGCCACTGGCTCCCAAAGTATTTGGTAGCCAGTGGCTACCAAATACTGTTTTTCTGTTCAAAGGGTTGGGTTGAACCTTGCTTCAAGATTAAATGTACTGTGTGTGTAAGCATACATGTATGTACATGTACATGTAGAGGTTATTGTATACCGGTACATGAACAAATGGGCTTGGTGTCTGATTTCTATAATCTGATAAAAAAACGTTTTTGGCCACTTGTTATTTACAAATTATTGGCTGTGATAGATATCTACTGGTACTAGGTTGCTTGCAAGAAATAAACAATAAAAAGTTAGGGCCAGTACATTTTTTTATACACATTTTATGAGTAAAAATTTTCCGCAACCACGACATAACCGGTATGTACCGGGACACTGTAGATTGTTTGTGTCCTAATGAAAACAAAAAATACTATGCAATACTACATGTACTATGTAAACAGCATAAACCACACACGTGCTCCTGTGCAGAAAAGGTGACAGAAGCGCACTATGAAGACATAATGTAGTGGTACAGCACCGTACATCACATACCGGTGCTGCGTGTAAACCACATATTGGTACCGGTACATAAACGTGTGCATGTACAAATCTACATATACATGTACAGTATGTACCGGTACATTTATGTACATGTAAATGTACCCTTGTGGAGAATGCAGGATGTACATGTACTGTATATGTACCATACCTTCAAACTGAAAACAAGCGTAAAATACTTATCAAAATCAATTTTTCATACATGTTCATTTCACATCCTAGATTTCATATAAAGAATATACTGTACAGGTACACCAACATGCTCATGTATGGTACAGATCTACATGTACATCACGTGCCTCTAACCTGTACAAACCAGTACCTTTCAACCTCTACCTGGAAACACATGAAGTTTTACTGATATTGACATAATCTCATGTGATGTTGAAAGTACATGTACACGTATGTGATCTTTCATTTGTCTACACACACATCTGTCTTGGTATAATGCGGTGGACAAACATTCCTTGTGTCATTTTAGGGATTTTAACTTCCTTGTATGTGTATGGTACCTGGGGCCAATTTCATAGAGCTGCTTAAGCACAAAATTTGCTTAAGCGTGAAAAAACCTTACTTGATAAATCAGGTAACCAGCCAAAACTCCATGTGATGTGTATTGTTTGGGGATTGCATTTAGCTATTTTTTGGTTAGCATGACAATCAGATAGAGTTTGAGCTGGTAACCTTTGTTTATTAAGCAAAGTTTTTTCCCCGCTTAAGCAAATTTTATGCTTAAGCAGCTCTATGAAATAAGCCATTTGCGAGTTAAATTTGAATAAAATCTGGTACACTGAGTTCTTTAAATTCACGTAAACATAACAACTTGAATTCCCCATACTAAAACCACTGTTGCTGTACCTTGTGAGTCGAGGCAAGCTTTTGCTTGGTTATGAAAGAGACGCCTTGCAACAATACACTTTTCTCAATGGATAAGAACGGCACAGAGGAGCCAGTCCATTCCAGAGATGGTGGTCACTATGCAAAAGCTTGCCCGGAATCACAAGGTATAGCAACAGTGTCTTTAGTCTGGGGAATTCAAATTGTTATGTTTCTGTGCAATCAGATAACACAGTGTACCAGATTTTATTCAAATTTAACTCGCAAGTGGCTTTTTGGCCCCAGATACATGTACACAGGTTCAGTATCAGCACTAGTGCAAAACAAAAATTATGGAAGCCACATCAAGTGATGCTTTGTCTTTTTCCTTTTGTCTTTTCCCCTTTGTCTTTTCTCTTTGTCCATTATGTGCCAAATGCAGCCAGGATGGCAAGGGTTTCCAGCTCATCTCGCCCAAGCCCCGAAACCTGCCCCACCAGCGCTGGACTTGGGCTGACAAGCTGCGCATCAACAGTGCCATCTGGAGGTGCTGGCACATTCAGTGTGAGTCTTTATTCTCAACCCCATTTTATAGTGTACATGTTCAGTCAGAAAGAAATCTGTGTAGAGTGAGAAGTGCTACATTTTTAAAATGGGTGATGTTTTTGAGCTAAATTTAACTGTTAAAGTTCATAAATATTCAAGACTGTGTAGCAATTCCTATTGGTCGTAAATCTTATAATTCATTCACTTTGTTCCTTCATTCCTCAGTTGTCAAAGGAAAAAAGCCGATGGGCTGTCACTTTGATTCACGCCTTCCTGAATCCAGACCAACGCTACAGGTGAGATCATAGTTTGTTGGTTCCAGCTCAGGCTCCATACCTTCACGCTGCTCATATCTTAACTTCCAATTAATTGTTTTACAATTCCCAACCTCCTGCTGAGAGCAGTCCAAATTCAGTTTCAGCCAAACAGAGCATGGGGTTTTGAGAGATTTTGGAGGAGTGAGAGGAATGCAGGGGATTTCCCTAGTGCACATGGGAAAGTTGCACATCGGAGGATGTAGGAATTAAAATGTACATGTATTGTATACGTGCATGTCAGCATGTATTTTTATAATGCTTGAGATGTACACATTTCATCACCAACCAGGCAGCCTCATTCCACCAAGATGGTGGGTATTGGACATGGAGCGATGATGAGCTCATCTGCAAACCACCCATACACCACCTTTACACACATGTATTTGACTTAACACCTTTTTCGTCCAGTGTGTTGTACAATTTCTCTTTCGTTCCAGGCTGATGCGATCCAGAGTGGCCGGGGCACAATCGGCAGCATCCAATACAACCAATCACAGGTGGGCTCTGTCGTCCGTGATTATCGACGATGGCGCCTCTATCACATGGACACCAGCAAGGTGAGTCCTACTCTGACCTCGGGAAATTTTGTTGGTAGCTGTGGCCAGTCAAGTGGCCCTGTCTGTATTGAAAGCCAAACCCGTACCATAATATGCAGAGTGAAATTTACATTCTTGTTTTACACGTGTAACATCAACATGAATGTTCCTGGCTCAAATCAGCTGAATTTCAGTGCTCGTTTTGCTGTTATACTACCCACTTTCACAGCACATGTGAATTCAATATTTAAAGCGTGTAAAATGGAAGCAGTTTGCAGCAGAAGTGTTCATGTGCAAAGAGTCGTGTGTCCCATCCCTATAAAACCCAAAGTGTTAGAGGAAAAGCGTGATAGAATTGAATACCTAATTCACTTTTAAGGAAGAACAGGTGCTGTTGAGCAGGAGGACATATTTTCTAAGATGTTACCCTGTAGTATCTGGAATAGTTAATGGTTTGACAGTTCAGTTTGGCTCAAGCTTTGCCGTTGTTGCACTGCTTGGTTTTGGCAGATTTTGAAAGTGTTCGAACAAACCCTCTTTTCAGTAGGTATTTGTGCTTTGGCTCTGTCCCCCTGTAGCCTGGGACGAACCCCTCCCAAGTCGAACCAGTCGAGAACCCAGAAGAAAATGCATTCAAACTGGACACGCCCCACCCACCCCTCTCCCCCATGGCCGCCCGCACCCTCCTCAACGATGACCTCTCAAAGGACTTCTCCGACACGCTCTTCATCAGCAAGAAGAAACATTTCACGGTTCTGCATCCCAAGAAAATCGGTGTGTGAGAGCAGCGTCTTTAATGGCTAATCCATGGTGTACATTCTATCAAAATTCTAGTGAAAATTGGAGGGTTGGGGACTGTTGCATCAACTTTAAATGGCTCAGCAGTTAATGCCAAATTAACTATTTGATACCATCAATAGAAGCTGTAGTTAGTGCAGATTCCATCATACATCCATGCAGGGATGGATACTTTGGATTTGTGCACATTCAAATGAAAATTGGATTCGTGAATTCCATGCCGTTAGCGTGCATAGGACAGCACACCCAGTGCATATCATTTCTAGTATCTCGAAAGCCTTTTTTTACCAGACCTCATTTCACCATGTACAGTTTTGTTTTGGACATCACCATTTTTTGCTCAGTAAAATGATTATCTTTGCTTATCTTTGCAGCCCGTCATGTCTACAATGCTGACATCTTTCAGCCAGGGCTGATGCAGCTTGAACCAGACTTTGGCGACGACTTCATGGACACGTTAGACTCCATTCAGGGTCAGAAAGAAATTGCTCAGTCTAATTCAAGTTCATTTTGAAACTTAAGAGGAAATCTACCCATTGTACTCCTGCTGACAATCTTTGAAGAAACTTGTTGGTTCTGTAATGCATCGTGCCGCCATGATACAAATTTTAAGTTCCCTGGATGTATTTACAGCACTTACATTGAGTTTGCAACTCCATTTCTAGAAAGGTATTATGTCAGAACAACCTGGTTGTTCTTTGTATAGTGTTAGTACCAATTTTTCATTGTAATTTGGAGCTAAAGCTGTACTGCTTAAGCTGACTTTTCTGTCTGTCCCTCCCCCCAGATACATTGTGTAAGACGCCCACCAAGGTAGACCTCCGTAGCCTGATTGAGTTCAACGAGGACTTGCTTGGTACAGAAAGCATAAGCGCCTTTAGTGATTCACTCCTTGGCCCGCTCACGGTGAGTCGGTGCTCATATACAGAAGTGGACCCACCACATCATTTGAAAAATGAAAACAAAATCTCATTTTCAAATGAAGGTGGGTGCTAAATGCCCTTTGTAATGAAGCGCATAAACGGTCAGGAATTCCAGGGATGACAAATACTGATGGCCTGTATGCTGTTCTCTTCCTTAATTCTATTTTCGCTGCTGGGGATTGAAGGATGTTTATTTAAAGTCACAAAGTTAGTGATCACGCCTTCATTTGCAAGTTGTGAGAGGAGAACTGATTTCCATTGTACTATTTTGTTTCCAAACTTAACTGACTTCAAAAAGGCAATGTGTAGGCCCTCAAAGGATGCAAAATTGAACATGTAGTCGGCATTGCTAAATTGTGTAGCATTCGTTCGATTCAATTCCTCAAACCACTAAAATCACATAATTCCCTGTCAAGACGGTGAGTGGGATTAGTTTTCACCCTTGTCCTATATTGGTTGCTGTCCCTGTTCATCGTGGGGTTTTTTTGGACCAGCTGCAAATTCCTAGAAAAACCTCGCTCTCATGTTGTGTTAGCAGCCAGATCCTGCAGATTGAGTTGGAGAGCCCGTTTTCACTAATTTGGTTTCAGGTTACATTTTAAAGAGAAAACCAAGCTCTTTATTTTGACGTATCACTTAATTTTGGCATGCTGTTAAAAACAGGTGGTGGTTCCTTATTTATTTACAATGTGCAAGATATTTTTAATGGCCTTTGAAAAAGTGGGTCTGGCGACTTAGCACTCTCTTCAATAGGTTAGATCACATTTACAAGGATTACAATTACTTTTTGGCTGGTCAGACCGTGAGTGAGGAAACCACCGAAGCCCAGCAGGATCCAGTGCCAGCCTCCGTCGTATCAGCCCCTTACCTGGTCACTGTCAGCCCCAGGCCAGCCAGCGTGGCCCGCAATCTCTCCTTCCCGTCTTCCCCAGCTGCCCCCATCAGCTCGTCTGCCCAGCTCTGGGATCAGGCCAACTTCCCCATGCCCACCTCTGCACCAGCCTCCACCACCCTCAAGCAGTTTTCAGCCAGCGCTTTTGCCCCGCAGTCGACGTCCTCTGCATCCTCGGCCATGACCTCTGGGGCTGGGCTTGGTCAGATGCCGCCGATCTTTGAGGTGTCGGGTGCAGGCACTGGCAGCGGAGGGATGGCCATGCAAGTGGACGTGGTCCCGTCACTGGGGCAGCAGAATAGCTCTGTCACCTTTTCCCAGTCACAAGTAAGTTGAAGAAAAAACACAAGAGAAACAGTCTTACATGTATTTAGGAAAGAGAATATGAGTGCTATTTAGTAGGGCTGTAACGATTCGCCGATGCATCAATAATCGCGATTCTAAAATGTCATGATGCGGCATCGCAATACAAAAACGTGAATCGCGATTTTTGGGGGGAGGGGGAATTATGATAAAATGGGCAGTGAGTTGAAAATAAAGTTAGGGCAAATAGAAATTTAAAATAATTAGCTTTATATTTTTAATATCACCTGTACTGATTACTCTTGCAAGAAATGGTTTGCATGGGTTTAGCATCACGGACACCTCGCCCCACGTACATGACGTAGGCCTACCTGGCAATAGAACACAAAAGTGACAGTCGCGCATGCATCGTGCCACCAAACCTTCACACCGATCTGGGTATCATGAGGAAATTTGATGAATATCAGACTTCATCCTTTCATTTGTCAAACCACACCAGTTTATCAGGTTTAGACAGGTTTTTTCTTCCTTTCGTAAGTGCTGTTTTTTTCTACGCGATGCTATACGATCCTTGCTTCAAACACCAAACAGTACTAGAGCTCTGTAATGCACATGAGTGAATTTACATGCATATGCACATGTACAGTACCGTCACGTGCCTACAGTGATCTAGTGTGGCTGGGCTCAAAGCGCAAGCCTTGTGTATAAACAAACACCATCCTGGGACCATCCAGTCATTGTGTTGTGATTGGCTCTCAATGGAACTTCAATATTTATACTTGTGTCAGTGGTACTCATTACAGCTGTTCGCGTGTGAGAATAAGTAGTGACTGAAAATCTCCACTGTTAGTACATTTTTGTTTTCGTCGACAGAGGGTTTCTTGACAACTGGCATGGGATGCATGTCATGCATCATCGTGCAGGTTTTGTACGTACTTTCAAACATTTTTGGATATTAACTTATCGAAATGTCAGTGCAACACAAATACATAATTGTCTGCAGAGGCTCTGACTTGGATACAATCTTTGACAAGGGCGATCCTCAAGTTAAAAATCCAAAGAAAACACAGTGCTGGAATACACCGCAGACCATCAAAATCACTTTGTAATTAAAATTAAAAAGATCCTCCACCCTAAACGTTTTGACCCCAAAACTTTAGAAGCAAAAAAAAGTGACTACCCACCTACAGTACCCAACTTATTTTTTTCAATGTAATAGGAAGCATAGATGTTATTTTGTTTGGCCTAATGTTAATAAACGTGAAACACTTCAAGAGAAATAAATGCAGTTTTGTGTTTAATTTTGTGACTCACCTTGCAGAAGCTTCTTGTCCTCATCACCTTTAAGCTTTCCATTGGTAATCTACCATTGGTAAGTTACCATTGGTAAGTTACCATTGGTAAGCTACCATTGGTAAGTTACCATTGGTAAGTTACCATTGGTAAGCTACCATTGGTAATTTACCATTGGTAAGCTACATGTACCATTGGTAAGTTACCATTGGTAAGCTACCATTGGTAATGTACTATTGGTAATATACCATTGGTAAGTTACCATTGGTAATCTACCATTGGTAAGCTACCATTGGTAAGTTACCATTGGTAAGCTACCATTGGTAAGCTACCATTGGTAAGTTACCATTGGTAAGTTACCATTGGTAAGCTACCATTGGTAATTTACCATTGGTAAGCTACATGTACCATTGGTAAGTTGCCATTGGTAAGCTACCATTGGTAATGTACCATTGGTAATGTACCATTGGTAAGTTTTCATTGGTAATCTACCATTGGTAAGCTACCATTGATAAGCTATTACTGGTAAGTTACCAATGGTAGATTACCATTGGTAATCTACCTTTGGTAATCTACCATTGGTAAGTTACCATCGGTAAGCTACCATAGAGGGATCATGCTTTTAGCGTCGATCTGTGTACTTCCACGTTTGAAAACGAGGCTGTATGTGTCAGCTTCAATTATTAATTCGATCAGACGATTGAAAGTAAGGAGTCAAGACACAAAATACGCAAAGGTATGTTAAATTCAGACTTTTCAGGCTGCAATGTTTGTAGAAGAGTCTTTCAGGATGAATTGACACGTGGGATCAAAAGAGAAAATAATGGCAATCTAACGCGAATTAACGTACATGTACCTGCGATGGTCGTTTATCTTGTGCAGTGGGCGTGGCACTACACTTACAAACCGGATACTGCATGTACTGTGTCGACTCCGCGGGCGCGTGCGATGAAGTTCAACACAGACAGCCTCGGTTTCGATGCCGATGTGCGCAGACAGCACTAATGTGAAATCCATCATTGGTAGGCTACCATTGGTAAGCTACCATTGGTAAGCTACCATTGGTAAGTTACCATTGGTAATCTACCATTGGTAAGTTACCATTGGTAAGCTACCATTGGTAAGTTACCGTTGGTAAGCTACCGTTGGTAAGTTACTATTGGTAAGTAACTTACCAAACTGGTGAATTGTTTTAAACTGGCTTTCGTCTTATTGGCTTCTTTGTTTTTACGATACATATCATGATACGTATCGTATCGCAACCCAAGTATCACGATACGTATCATATTGTGAAAATGTGGTATCGTCACACCCCTACTATTTAGTGAGGTTTGATCAATTATTCGGGCTACAAATTCACATGAGAGAACATTGCAACATGAAGAAGGTTCACTGCAAACATTTTGTGACAGCAAATGTCCTGCATTTTTTGCATTCACCTGAAGTGTTAACCGAGGTCTAAGTTGCTGCCGTTTCCCTGATGTGAATTTGGTCATACGGCATCATTTCAATTTGGATAGGAAACTGGGGCAAATGCTTTGACTTACCTGGGGTCTCAGGACTACAGTAGTTAGATCCTTTCTGTTTGTATTTGTTCATTTTGTGTAAAACCCCAATTTTTTCCCTTTTTATCTGTGAACATTTAAGAATACCGGTATGTTAAGAATAAGCTCCTTAGCTAAGAGACAAAATGCTTGTGGAAAATTTAAATAAAGATGTGCGTACTCATGTATGAATGCATGTGTGTATTCCACAGGTATTTTCCACTGCCATACCCAAGCAGGAGCCATACAGTCCGTCTATGGCCACAAGCCCTCAGTCCATAAACACAGGAATGGACATCAGCGATGCTCTTGAAATAATAGCTGCCCAGTTCCAACAACAGCAGCAGCAACAACAGAAGGAGTGGCAACAGCAGCAGTTGCAATCCAGCAAGCAGCAGGTGTCCACTCCGAGCCTGCAACCTGCGCCCCAGAAATTGGCAGTCAGTGGGAGCCAGACCAGCTGGTCTGGTGTGACCACAGAGGGAAAGCTGCCCATCTCACCCACCAGCAACTACACCACGCAGGTGGAGCCTAACTGGCCCAATTCCAACCTGCCCCAGGCCCTGCCCTCCACTGGAATGAACTGGTCCCTGGCTGGGGGTATGTCAGCTGCCTCTGTCATGATGGGTGGATTTCCTCAGGGTATCATGTCCCAGGGGGGCCTCTCCAGCTCTAACATGGCATTCATCCAGAATGCCGGTGGTTTCCCTGCAGGGATGATCCCAGACACCATGGCACCCATGGACCAGAACATCATTCTGGGTGCAGCGTATTCCCAGCAGAACAATACTAAACAATCACTGGGTCTTTTAGAATCAAGCCATGGTCTCGGAGGCCATGGAACTCCAGGTCATACAACACCAGGTCATAAAACACCGGGTCACGTGACTCCAGGCCATGTGACACCAGGCCATGTGACTCCAGGTCATGTGACGCCAGGCCACAAAACACCGGGGCACGTGACTCCAGGCCATAAGACACCAGGCCATGTGACGCCAGGCCAAGCCACTCCAGGTTATGTGACACCAGGCCATGTGACACCTGGCCACGTGACTCCGGGTCATGTAACCCCAGGCCATGTGACACCTGGCCACGTGACTCCAGGCCATGTGACCCCCGGGCCACTGACACCGCAGATGGATGAAAGCATGGAGTTCGAAGAGTTTCCATTTCCATCTGCATCAAAGAACAGCAGCAGCACCTCGTCGTCGTATAAGGCCAAAAGAGGTTTGGGGATAAAGAACACACAAATTGGCATAAATGCATGATTGTGCCAGTGTTTCACTTTACTCACATGAATTGATTTTTTTTTTTTGTGTGTGTAACATTGAAAAGAAACGACCTCAAGCTATTAAGAGGATATGAATATTCATGTGAGTAGTTAAAGCAATCGAGTAATATTTGCACTTCAGGTCATATGTCCAAGTTCACGTAAACAGCACAAGCACAATATGATGCAAAAGTATTCGGGAATTACAGAGTGTAACCATTTAACCCTCCTGTAAACCGAGAGTCTCAGAGAATTTAAAATTGATCTTAAATGACTGTGTTCTTTTTGTTTCATCAGAGCGCTCCCATAGTCGGAAGAATTCCCATGATCGCAGTCCACGTGTTAGTCAGGTCAGCCCACGTGTTAGTCAGGTCGGGTTCTCTGACTCGGCCTCCTACACAACTTTCCTGGGGAAGGTATGTGCTGAGGGGCACCAGCTTGTCCTGGTTTCTCCCGTCGCAAAATGCCAACTGTAAAAATTAGATTTTCTGGATTCCGTTGTGAATTTGTGTTCCAGAAATTATTTGCAGTCTTTCGAGGCTGCTTTGAACACCGCTGTTGTTTTTCTCGCTGTAAGATTACCCACCATGAAGGGAACAATTTCTTAGTGGGAATCAGTAACTGAAGGTGTTTTCTAAAGTCACGTTTAAATTGTACAACGAAGATGTTTTGTTAAAAATTGCCAAGCCAATTCATTTTATGGAGTGTTCACCATCAGTAAAAATCATGTCACACCGTGAACGTCTTTTATGCTAATGTGCAAACATGATATACTATAAACATCTTTTTGTATTTTACCCTCTTTGGGTCAAAAGAATTTCAAGTTGGGTTTGTAGAATGATAAACTTCAAAATGATTTTATAAGTGTATTGTTTTCTTCACATCCTTTTACTGAATTTGAACTTCAAGAGAGAAAAACTTTTTTCCTTTTCTTAAAATGTAAATCTTTAAATAGGCGATAGGCAGTGTGTCGGTGAGTACAGATTGTGTCGGTTTTTTTCCCTTGTTTGTCTTTTTGGTGGAAATTTTAACCACAATGTCGTTCCCCCTTTCTCCCCCTCATACATTGTACATCTCCATAGTCTGAGGCAAAAGATCTTGGCATGCCTAGCCCATCAGAGATGTCTGTAAACCCCTTTCTCCCGTCATCTGGCCATCCGTCCAACGTGTCTAGTGAGTAAAAAAAAGAAAAAGAAAAGAGAGCCAAAAGCCAGATACCAAACCCCAAAAGGCGACGGAGGAATAAAAATTGGAGATGGGTAGAGGAAGGCCTGGCCGGTTCACATCGTTCTCGGAGGGCATTGAATTCACTTGTTATATGCACAATTTGTTGAACCCCACACAAAAACCGTTCGCACGCTGCGTTCGGTGTGCGGCAAGTATAGCCGCGGCGTGATGTGTCCGCGCCGCGGTGTTTTGCTTGTTTTTCCTCTTTGGTCCTCTGCCGTGATCTTTCTGCATTTTTGGAGTTGCCCGTGTTTATTTTATCACATGGTGTCAGGGCCAGCCGCAAAACTGCAGATTTTTCAAAGTGAATTTTTGATGGCATTCAAGCGAAGCACTCTGAGTTTGTACAGATAAAATCCAGGCTGTCCCTTCTCAAAAAACTCTGAGCTGATCAAGGCAATCTGAACAGAGAGCTCACGGCAGAACACTGGATTGTCTTGTGTGTGTGACATTTCTGAAATAGGCCGTATGTCCTCCCATTACCATGATTACCCAAAGGATTTTCTTCTTTTTCAGTGGTACAGCTCTGTATTCCCAACCCTGACATTTTTCCGTTATCTTTATTTACAGCTCCTTAACTCTGTACCTGTACTATAATGCTTCCATTTTTCTCCACAGGAAAATCACAAAACACTTCAAAAATAACCTAAAATATTTTAACTCGCTCAAACCTAACGCACGGCAATTAATATCGTGAAATTTCTTTTGCAGATTATTGTCTTTCCTTTTCAGAGAATTATACAAACCAAAACTGTCTGTGTGTGACAAATGAAAAGAAAATTTTCATTTTTCCAACTGTCCAGCTCTCAATTTTGAACACTGAATACCTGCCCCCAATATCCCAATCAAACGTAACATGCTGTAAATACTTGCCCCTCGTACTTTGAAAAGAGATTGCTGCTTTTTTAAGAAGAAAATGCTGGGACGACTATTTTACCAAGTGAAATGTTTAGATGTGACATATTTTCCTGCTTTTCAAACAGAGGTACAGTAAACTGTTGGTCATTGAAAATTGGCCGAGTTTCAAACTCAAACCTGAGATTTCTCAAGTTTTCAATTTCAAAGGAAGCAAGCAGCTCAACAGAAATAAATTGCCACTCCAGAGAAATTGTTCTCTCTTTCAGTTGTCCCAGTTTTTTTATCATCTTCATTGGTTTATTTTTGTTTGGGGTTTCTATTATTGTGTTTCTGATGAGGTATCGTCAAGTATTTTTTAAATAAGCAGATGATAGGAATTTAGCAATGTACAAAAACCTTGCAGTGGAACTTGGAATACTAAAAATGTCAGTTCTTGGCATTCTGCCAAGGTGTTCCTTTTCTTGTGAAAGTGTAAAACTGACCCTGCACAACCATGCCTGTGATGTGTACAAGTTCAGATGCATCTTCCTTCACAGAATGCAATGGGCCTGCTTTGAAATTTAAATAGAAGTTGTGTGGTGTCACTTTTTTATATTAACAACATCTTCATCATTTTCTTGCATTACAGCTGTCCTGTGCATTTTAACTGGATTTTAACATGTCTTTTTTCCTTTTGTTCTCCCTGACACTTTGTGCTCTTGTGATCTTTCCTGACCTGCCCAAACCGTCTGACATTCCCACCGTTCTGTGCCTCTGTCATCCCTTTTGTTGTGTGTCTGTCCATCTGTGTATCCAACCGGTGTTCCTACATCCCTGTCACGCGTGTCACCCCATCCCTACTCCCACATGACCATAGGTGCGGCTTCCTCCCCGGGCAGCGTGACAGAAGGCACTGAATTTGAGGTGAGTGTGGCCTTTCCAAACTTGCAAGAATCAAATGAAGTGTTTCTCTGCAGTATTCATCTGTGCTATTGCTCTTCGTTGTATCAAGGGACAGTTACAGTAGTAAAACGGCATCTTAAATCCCCCCTTTCCCTTTTTCGTGGCCCCATGCGTTCCCGTCATACTGGCATTGTTACAGAGTTCCAAGTTTTCTCATTCCAGGTGATTCCCTCATTTTGTTCTCCCCACGTTTGCTATCAAAACTGGAGGGAAAAAACCTGTAGCAAGTGTACATGTAGGTCTCCTACCCTGCTGTAACTAACCTGTCTCATTTCTGTTGAAATGAGAGGCATGCGCTGGGTACTGCTGTCCCAATCCCTTCAGTAAACCCCTCTCCTTGACTTTTCAACCAGTCACACAGACAGCCAACAAATGTCTGACACCGACACCTGTCCATGACCAGCTTCTTCCGCACGCTTTGTGGGATTGGTGAGCTGCTGCTCGTCTGCATAATGGACAGGGCATTCGTCTGTTAGTCATGTGCTCAGTTTTTTTGTCCTCGGTTGCCGGCGCTTTCTTTGTGTGTGTGTCAAGTTTGCTACATGTACAGTGCATGGCCAGGAGTAATACACATAACCCATGAGTAGTGGCCGCAGCTAGTGACTTCCGCAGCAAGGTTCCCACAGTCATGGAAAAATCCTGTGGAAAAAGTTGTCAAGGGAAAAGTCACAGAACATTGGGGAGGAACAGGATGCCATGGTATCCTGTTGTCAGAGAGAAAGAAGTCAGGGAAAAGTCATGAAAACAAACATCAAAGTGTTATTTTTTTGATGGGCTGTAGGCTGCTTATGATGGGATAATGAAATAAGGATAATGGAATTATGATAAATTTACAGGCTATATCCCTGTCGGTCTACAGTGTGGCTGGGGCAGTCGTCCAATTCCTAATACGTGTACCAAACACTTTTTCTCTTCAAAATGGCGTTAAATGTCAAGGCATTGCCATATTTAAGTCCTGGAAAAGTCATGGAATTTGGTTTCCAAATTTCTGTGGGAACTCTGCATATCTTCTCGTATGGGTAGTGACTGCTGCCAGGGACGTCTCGTAGATACATGTATACATTATTTCTAGCCATAGTTGCATCTGTCCGACCTAGGCCCTCCCTCCTGTAAGCCAGATGTCACCCTGCGTAGGTCCCGCAAAAGATCCCTCACTGGTTAATCTGGTAGAGTTAATAGATGCTCACAGTTGGTCAGATTTCTCAACTGCCCATTTCTCTTGATAACCCCCCACCAGCTTTATGACTGGATTATGGACTGTCAGTCAAAGTCGGTGAGTTTAACAAATCTTCAAGCTTGCAAGCAACAACTCACCACTTTGCTCCTTTATTTTTGAAGCCATGGACATTTGCATTGTACATCTTTTTCGGCTGTGGAGTAGTCGTCGACAGCTTTCAAAGTGTGGTTTTTTTCGTAGGTCATTTGCAGCTGCACTCTGTTGCACCACAGATGTGGAAAATTGGGATATTGAAATGAACTATCACTTGAACTGCGATCTGACACTGTAGCACATTGTTGCTGTCTCAACACCCATTGCTTGGGCTATATACACATACATGTACTGTACATGTTACCTTACATCAGGCTCCTCTCCATGAAAGTAGGGCTTCACATGATAAGCATGTTTTCATACTGTGACAAACATCAACTTTCCGTGATATTTTGTGGTGTCAATCCACGAGTTGAAGTGCACCCCCAAGCGGCAAAAGAAAGACAGATGGTAGTAAGTTTTCCCAGCAGGTTCTTGCATGCATTCTGCGTGTTAGCAAAGACCATACATTAAAGAATAAATTCTTTATGTGTACTCGGCATGCTCCGCGTCAAACGCGCCATTCATCCCATTATAAACGTATACGCCCGCCTATGCGGCGAGTACTAAAAAAAAAGCCCTCTTTTGTTCCGCTCAGAGCGGATAGGAAATTATTTGATTATTTTGTGAGCAATGTACCCACTTTATGTGCACGTGTGTGTACATGTACATCATGCAGTCCCTATCGTGTAGATTGTCATACACACAGAGAGATCAGAGTGTTGTAATGCCTAATAGAAGAGCAGCATTCATGTCTGTCGTGAGAAGCCTGCTTCATAAACGTGCATACCCACAACATAATCAGCCAAGGAATAAACTTGCAACACCATGAAGATTTGGGATGCTGTTTCCCTCCCAATATCAACATGGCCCTGACCCTATTGCTTCACCTGCTTTCAGTGAGCTTCATGCTTGTGCCAGCTTTTGGTTCAGGAGATGGACAGTTGTGCTTAACCCATTAGTACGTGTTGTGCACTGTGTTAGTCTGTATTCACTGGAGAATCCAGAAAAGCGTTGGGCACTAGGGCAGTTTTGGATGGTACAGGAAAAATAGGCAAGGCGGTTTGGGGATGCATTTGGCATATGTGCATGGATTGTGCATACATCATTGCCAGACTGACGACTGATAATGCTGGGACTGATAAATCCAGGTACGTGTTTGGCATGCACTACTGGTCACCCCGGTGGTGGATGAAGCTTCCTGGGGGCGTTTCCTCATTATTAATCACCCCATGAGTACATCAAAATGGATGCCAAGGTTTAAACTTGAGTGTGTTTGCTTCCAGCCTTGACCCTGGTTGACTGAGCTGCACGTACAACCGTCAGTGTACTCGTCCTTATTAGTCGGCCACAGTTTGCACCATTGGCCCATAGACCATTTTCACTGTGACCTCAGTTGCTCCAGATTTTGCACATATACATGTATGTACATGTAAAGACCTTTTTACCATGATGTTAGAAAGTTTGAGGCAATGGTCAAGAATGGGTTGAACATTGATGAAAAAGGGGCAGGTTATTTGGTTCAGCTGTTTCACAACTCAGACTTACTGTACATACGTGTATGTCTGAAGTCTGTTGATGGAATAGGAGGTTACATGTACCTCTACAATCTAGACATTTTTGTAGTGTGTTTCACAACATGACTGCAAAGACTACTGTTTTCATCATCCTGCCTGTTCGGCAAGTTGCGTGTGACCAACATCTTTGAGGGAGCTGTTAAAAGGTCACATTCTTATGAAAGGATCAGCTGGGCTTCCTCATGTCCAATTTGTAGAAGGAGAAAAAATACCCAAACTCTTTTGCTGTTTATTGCTATGCAGTTCCCAGCACCTCAAACCAAACGGAGAAAAACACCAGAGAACAATGGTGAAAAGGTACGTACACAACTTTCATCATCACCATTGTGAAGACAATAGTCTGTATGGACGGAGAGCCCTAGAAAGCATAGCTTGTCGAGTAGAGGTCCCCGGTTATTAATACATTATGTTAGATATAATAGAATATGAATAATCTTATGTTTTAATACACATAATAATATGGATCATAAAGACACCTTGATGTTATGGCACTGAGCAGCCTGATAAAAATCAAAATTTGATTTTGATATTCATGCATTTATTTGGACCAAAAAGCCATGCATTACAGTTTGGTTCTTGTCAGCAGCTTTGATATCAGTTTTCAGGCAAAGGCCTGATTTTTTTTATTTAAAATGCTTAGCTAATTTTCATCCCTAACAAGGCTCTTCTTTATCTTGTTTTCAGACTGTGGTCAATAACCTGTCTGGCATCTTTGATTCTTGAAAACTTTATCACTTTTTATTTATATAAATGTATATGAACCATTGTCAGCCTTGGGGAGTATTTTGTGTTAACTATGTGAATTCATATGAAATGTCCCAAAGTTTTGTCTTCAGGAATTAAATTCCAAAAAGTATCGAATGGTTGTCCAACAAACCCTTGCATTTCTCCCCAGGAAACCCGCCGGCGATACAAACACCTTCAGTCCGAGCACAAGCGACGCTTCAACATCCAGTCAGGACTGGACGAGATCCAGAGGGTTGTCCCAAGCCTGCGGAATACCAGTGATTCCAGTAAAAGCAGTACAGCGACCATGCTGCAGAAAGGTGGAAACCTACAGACTTTAGAAACTACAGTTTAAAATCCGCACAAATACTGATATCAGGTTTTGCTGTCTCCAACATTTTGATGAATATTTTCAAGATGTAGTTTTGCGTTGGGGAGATGTTAATTTATATAACAAGTTTTGCCCATACCCAATGTACGTATGATAAACATTGTTTGCTCAGTGCTTGTCTGAGAAGTTGTGAAAAAATTCACAAGCTTACTCGGGTGAGACTCGAACCCACGACCTGGTTACTAGTGCAGACGTCTTAACCATTCGACCACCGAGCTTGCCGGGGTCGGCTGGCCGGTCCGAGTCAGGTGAGGCAGCTGGTAAGCAGCGGGCAAGCTCGGTGGTTGAGTGGTTAAGAGGTGTGCACTATTAAGCAGGAGGTCGTGGGTATGAGTCCCACCCGAGCAAGCTTGTGACTTTTTTCGCAAGCTCTCAGACAAGCACTGAGCATACAGTGTTTATCAGTATATACGTTGGGTAAGGGCAAAACCTGTTGCATGTTTATAAATTGTTGAATATTGTCAATATTTTGGAACTGTGCTTGGTACTGTGTAAAAACTTGCTCAAGTGCAATTGTAACCCAGTGCTATCTTAATGGAAAGCTTGTGATAGTTGTCTCTGCTGAGATGAGTGCACTTGCAAACATTGCGTGAGGCTTGACTTTTAGACCTGCAAAATAACAAGGTCGTAGTCAAGTACTGCAGAAGTACTACAGGGGAACTCACAAGTGCTTCACAAATACTTTACATTCACATCACAAGAATGCCAGGCTCAGTTGATTGAGTTGAAGCCACTATTCGTACAAGTATGAATCATACTAAGGCACCATTTCAAAATTCTTATCAGGTAGGTGTCAGACAGAACGGTCTGACCGATACATTAGTTATCAGTTTGCTATCAGGTTAAGTGCTCTCCAGAGACCAATTCTAACCAATAAATGCCTTTACATTATATTACTCCCAAGGCTATGTGGCTTCAGTGTAGCAACACCCCCTCCATTATTCACTCAACACAAGTCACTGTTATGGGTAGGATGGCCCTGTCTTATAGTCAACCGATAAGAATTTTCAAATGATGCCTAAATACAATGCTGTGATATTTTTTACTCACTGTTCAATGAAGTACTCCTCTTCAACACAGCAGATTTGCTCCAGCACTGAAATGGAAGAGTCCCATCCTAGCTCTTGCATTTAAAACCACCCTACAGTGGCGCTCGGCCTTTGTAACTTAGCACTTTTTGCTGTTGTTTTCATAGCCCATGAGCACATAATGACTCTGAAAGCAGAGTTGAAAGACCTGAGGGACACTACGGAGAAGCTGCGAGAGGAAATACAGGCACTCAACACTGAAATAGAGTAAGGAGGTCCCTCGTTCTGCCATGTTCAATTAGCCGTAACTAAATGAAGCCGAAGAGTTGAACGTACATATATTCTTTTACATGCGGAAGAAAAGGAACTATGACCTATTAGATGTGGCACATTATTTCCAGGAATTTTTGTGTAAACTTTCCTTAATCCTCAAATCATCCACTTTGACACTTCCAAAAGGCATCAAGCCCCACTTGAAGGTAAAATGGTGTTAGCTCAAAGCATCCCCAACCCAGCAAAATTGTCTAAAATCCCTGAGGGAACCAGGAAAAGTTACATGCAGGGCTATGGCCACATTTCCATTGTTACGCACTTTTGGTCCATTCCGTGTCTGCGTACATCTCTGCATTTTTTTCCTTCTGTACAATTTCAGTGAGCACTCTCCTCCAGTTATGCATACAGAGAGGAGGCACATTGAAAATGTGTCTATGAGAGGGCGCCTTGAGGACGGCCAAGAAAAGACTTGGAGAAAAGATAGAAGCCCATGTCCATGGTGCATTTAGTTTAACAAGTGGTGTTGTTATTTTTTTCGTCTTGAAAGCTCATGCCAAGACGAGTTGCCAGATACCGGGGCACCAGTCACTGCCCAGAGTGACCGGCAGCTCTACCAAATGATGGAGACCTACACCCATCAGAAAGTGAAGCAGAACTGGACCTTCTGGATTGTATCCTTGGCATTGCTGTCCCTTTGCCCACTGGCTGCCTGATTTTATTTGGTAGAGCTCACCTGGTCACATTAGTTTATCAGTAGAAATGGTGGGAATTGATAGGACCCTTTACCTTGGTGGTACCTCTGTGGGGGACATGTGGCCTAGTCGGTAGGATTTCTAGCTTTCCATCATAGGGTCTGGAGGTTGAGTCTTAGCAGATGGTTACATATTACGAGCTTTGGCAAGTCACAAACTACCCAAGAGTAAATGGATAAGTGTGGGGTCAGAGATGGCTATTGTATTTAGCTGTGAACACCTGATGTGGCAGCATCAGGCTGGTACATTGCATACTCCCCAGGGAGCGGAGATGGTCTCAGGAATCTGCAGGTGTTGTGAGCCCAGTGAGTGGGATAACCTTTCAATGGCAGCAATGTTGGACACTCTGTACCTTAAATAGGTCTCATATTCATACCTGTGCAGTCAACAGCGTTTGAATAGTCTGCCAAAAATTAATGCACACCTCAAGTTTAAGCTTGCACGCAGCATGTTTGTGATTACAGGGAATACCTTAACCACAGTAAAGGTGTTTCCTCGGGCAAATCTGTGTACATGTAAGAAGACCTTGTCTTCATTGCTTTCCATCTCATTCATATTGAGGTTCATGGTAGCAAGATTTTTAAACATTGGAAAAAAATTGGAACAGCTTGAGTAAATGTTTAAAATGTAGTAAATGTTTGTGTCAGACTTCCATAGAATTCTCACAGCATAGGGTAATGGTGCATAAGCTCTTCTTCCCCTGTCCTGCCCAAATTGCCCTACCTCTTGCTCCCTTTAGACAAATCCAAGGAAACGCCATTCCTGTGAGGTAATCACACTCACGCTCATGTAAACTTCAGTGCATGGGCACACTCTTTGGCAAGTCATGACACCCTGTTGGTCGGAGAGGAGTGTAACAAGTGCATACCGCCTTTGTGTGAACAGGATGGCCTCACGGTAATGGCTTCTCGTTCTTTCTGCCAGATTTGTGTCTACTAGGACCTTGGATAATTTTTACTCGGCCAGTGGGACAGGTATATTCGGCTCGCGAAAGGTACAGGTGTAATTAGCTATCGGTCTTTTTTTTTAGCCGGAGGTGTCAGAATATTTTCCTTCACTCGCTGATCTGTTCCCAGTTCAGCCTGATCATCCAGCCTTTGTTTGAGACGTACCTCTCTGCTGTAAGCTCGTCCCATGTCTCCGACTTTGACCAGACCGTACAGGACTGGACTGAAGGACACTGCAGATTGAAACCGCTCAGGAAATGTGAGTATGCTTTTGACTAGAATAACAAAAAAAAAGAGCTGAAGAAAGCTGTGAACTCTGTAGAAATTGTAAACAGTATTGTGAAGGTTATTCAGCCACCGGGAGATGTATTGCAAGCAGGTTCATGTACTTCGTCAGGCTGACAGGTTTAGGCAAGCAATTTGTGATAAGCACATCATTATGCCATCTGCAAGTGATGCTGGCACACTCCATACTCCAAAAAAGTTAGGCTCATCATCATTCTCAAAGTCAAACGGGGCCTCGTGCACAGTCTACAATCTGTTCACTGCTGTTCATTCAACAACTTCCAATTTCTAATTGTTATCATGCCTTTTCATTTTGATCACACTCGGACCTGTACACCTTCACTTGTGATGTTGTGCCGGCCAGTTGACATGCTGGGTATATTGTGCACTGAAGAGCAGCATTTTTGATTGGCTTCATCCTCTGCTAATTGCTTGTCCAGTTATTGATAAAAAAGTTGACTGGTGTTAAGGGGTAACTGAACATTCTTATAACTCTTTCTTAATGTGCTTGGGTCACAATGTAGCAAGTGTTGGAAAGCTGTTAAAGCGGCATTAATAAAAACAACATTGCTTCATTCTTTGTGTGCTCAAGTTGTCCACATGCTGTTCTCACAATTGCACTTGTTTGTAACACGTATGGATTTTAATTGATTCTTACAACTTTGTGAAACTGTTCCAGGTACGCACTGTATTCCAACATTAACGTCTTAACAGGTTTCCCAGGCAATCTGGAAATCAGGGAAAACCTGGAAAATGACTTCCCCCTTTTTCCAGTCAGGGAAATGTCAGGGAATTTGAGAAAAGTCCCTCAAATCAGGAAATTTGTTTGTCCAGTGGCCAGACTTTCTCACCTCGTGTCCATTACCAAACAGCGAATCCTCTGGATGATTGCATGGCTGTGGTGACTTTGTAGTATAGCTCAGTGTACTTGTAGTAAATACCTCTTTGTCTCTGTATCAATATAGCTGTGGTGCACCTGTAACCTTGTAACCTGTAACATGAACACCTATAGTGTACACTATCAGACTTTAAAGCCAAAATGATGATACTGGAATTTTTAACTTCTATGAGGGAAAAACCAGTGAATTTTGTTCCCATGAAATGCTGGGAACTCTGCTTAAAAGGTTTACGTTTTTGCTTGTACATGTAGCTTACACCCTATAATTATGTTGTCCGCATATTGTGTCTTCTGTACCTGAAGTACACCGTCTGTTGCCTGGTTATCTGGACCACGATGACTTGTGACAGCACTAGTACTGATTTTCATACATTTTTAAAGTTTTCCTTGTTATCGTTGCTCCCTTTTTTCTTCCCAACAGTGGTGACGGCAGCGTTAACCAAAGTCAGCAAAGAGACCTCCATCCTGATGGACCCAGCTGCCCTCCCAGCCCAGATCAAAGAAATGGCCACCAGAGACACCGACCAGCGTGCGCACGGCAAGACATAACGAAAGGCTCCCTACTCAGAACGTTCAGACTATTTTAGCCATCACTATTTATTTGTAAACATGTGCTGTTCTTATTTTTTAATTGAATTACGAATTGAACTTTGGGGAGAAAATGAGACTCGGCACTGGAAACGAATAAACAACCCAGTGTTATTGTGAATGATGTTTTTTCCCATGGGTTGAAGATGGGTCTCAGTAGCCTTGTGCAAGCAGGGTCATGCGCTAATATACTTTGACATTTTGGGCTCTTGTGGTGGGTGCCAGGTATCATCAGTAATTGCATCGAAGCACTTCAGCAGTGAATTTCATGAAATTTTATGTGTCGCGCATTGAGCTGTTTGTATTGAGTTGTGACTCATTTCATGGAAGTCGGATAGTGTGTAAGTGTATGAGCCGTGCGATGTATTACGGAGTGACTTACACCTCCACTTGTAGGCTGCTTAATTTTGGCATTCACGTCCAAAATGAAAATGAAGCTTGTCGTTGCTCAACATCTTAAGTTTGATGCGCTAAGTATCACCTGATTTTGTAGGGGGTATACATGTATGTACTCGCCAAACCATGAGAGAATTGCAAAGTTTCTCCTCAGTTATAATGGGAAAAAAAAACAGTGTTGTGAGTGACTGCGATCAAATCACATACTGTATGCACAGCTTCAAGATAGCTGAGGTGAGGTGACGCTGGTCTAAGATTTGTAAAATGTTGAAATTGTGGGGAGGCTGTGCATCGTTTATGATCATCAGCCTGTTCTTCGGGTACTCAAGAAAAAAGTTACCGAAGTCTAAACAATGCGAAAGGTGATGCATTGTTTCTGGAAATCATCCGCTGATAGACGATAATAAGTGCGAATTCAAAGTTTGGAGGGACGGTGTTGTAATCAACGTATTTTCAAAATGAGGAATCTATTAGAAATGTTAATATATGCGTGTCAAGGAGATCAGTCTACAGGGTTCTCATGGAACGCCAACGAATGCTGTGAAATACTGTGAAATGCTGCATTGTACAGGTTTATTGGATCATAGACGTGCGACTGATTTTCGTTCTGTTTAGAATAGCTCCAACGTTTAAACTTTTGTTCGTTTGGCCAAACAGCAGACTCAAGCTTTTAAAAAGTTGCTTGGATTTCTCAGATGGAGACACTTTTGATTTGGACAAACCGTAAGAATGAGCCTCATGCCGCAAGAGCCAGGTGGCCACAGTAGACGTGTCCATAGTGGAGTGGTGACTGTAATTTATAAAGTGTGCTAGATCACTGTGCACGTGACCCCTGACTCCAGTGCGATGCACAGGCGTGTGCAAACGTGACTCAGCCTGTGTGCAAACGTGACTCAGCCCATGTCCAAATGAGCCTTGATGCCTGGGAATGTTTGACCAAATGGGAATGTTTATGGGAGTATATACTCCCAAATGTTCCCTTATACAAGTAATTGCTTCTCAATGCCACTAGTTGTCTTTGTTTTGATTGGGTCCAGGTTCTCAAATTTTCAGATAGGGTCAAGAATACATTTTGAGAAATACAGAGGTATTCTAATCTTAGGAAACTATTCATAGTGAGTATATATTTAGAGTAGCCTGTGTCAGGCATTTATCCACCCATCACCTTTTCTTTGGGTTTGTTCCATCCTACCTAGCCATCAACCTGCAAGGAACTTCCATAATTATGCAAACAGAGCCAGACCTCGTCAACTGTATATGTAACGGTTCTCTGTAAACTTACTTCTGCTCTGAAAATTTGAATGCATTGGTTTGTTGTGTGGTGCATGTATATGTGCAGTGTTTTTGTATGTAATGTTCACATATGCCAGCACTCGCTATTTCAAATCCAAGCACGGAAGAGATAGGGATAAAAAAAAGTAAACTAACATCACATCTGGGTTTGACGATTTATTCGCACTCTGCCCATTTACATGTTTGATTGGTATAATTTATGACAAGAAAGACACACACACACTTCAGTTTATGTCAATACCAACTAATTGTGGAGTATTGAGATCTGACTCATAAATTATAGTTTCTAGTCATTCATGTTTTTTAAGTATAGGCTATCAAAATGAATCGCAACAAAAGTATTCCTTTGCACCTGTTCATATCTTCCCAACTTGTACTGTTACTTGGAGTGGACCAATCTCAAACCATTGATAGCTTTGCTACATATTGTGTAGGATTTCCAAGAGCCCCCTCCACCACCCAACAAAATGGAAATATAAACCCTGTGCCATTATTGCTAACGTTGGGGCTTTTGTATGTTTATTTACCTGATGTCATTTCCCAGTGCAGAATGGATAATCATGAAAATGAGTCCTGCCCAATTCAGACACACGAATGATAAATGCATGTAATGTAGTAAGAAAAAAAGACTGAAATGATTTGTGATTGTATGATTTCAAACGTTGTGTTTGACATCACTTTTTTAGGGGCTGCCATTTCTTTGCACGTTATTAAAAACAGAGGTGCATGCCCGGTAATGTTTTCTTAAAACAACAACAAAAATTAAGGAAAGGAGGCACACTATTTTAAAAGGAAAACCAATGTGGAATAATGACAGTGTTCTGTGTGCATTCCATATTTATGAATTTTACGAGCAACGTTTATGCGAGGGCGGTTGGAAAAACACTGACGTGCTGTCCTTCGAACTTCTTAAGTACGTGATGATATTGATTAGAAGGCAAGTTATTATTTGAATAAAGATCCATTTTAGAGTCATTTGTCTTGTACTGGTTTATTTATTTTATTTTATTTTTTGGGTTTTTTAAGTGAAAGACACATATTGTTGCAATCTCTAAAATCTGTTCTCATCATATACTTTTAAGTATAAACAGGCATAAAAGTTTTCCAGGGAACTGCTCATTTCTGTGTTTTGAACTTCACACTTATGCCATTGAAAATTGAAAACATTGTACACAGTCTTGTAAAGATAGGAATTTCCTCATTTTGGGGGTCAAAGTCCAAGTTACGTGCCTGTGTATAAGGGGCAGTGTTTATAAGTTGGATGTGCCAAAGACATTTTTTCCTGTAATAGGGTTTTGTTTTTTGATCAGGTGTGTTGATTCTCCCCCCCCCCCATTCTACAGAGTTACACTACCCACTTGATTAATACTTGCAGTACACAAATGGAAACTGTGTACAGTGTACCTGCAACCGCACAGGTTATCTGTTGTTTCCTAGGTCAACAAGGTTGTGAAATTTATTTTAATGGATTTTAGGTTAGATGCCTTTAACTTTCCTGGCATTTCACCTGCTAGATTGCATCAAGAGCCCATTGTAATTTTCAGGAGGGTTGGAATTGCAGAACCAGACGAACGGGGGTCTCCAAATGCGATATCATCGCATGTGAAAAGAAGTTCTGCTATAACATTTTGTGATGCCTGAAGCAAAGAAACACATCATTTTCATGTTCACAAGAGTCGCGTGCAATTTATTTATTTATTTTTGCTGTTGCTACCTCCATGTTGCTACAAAGCCGAGTGGTTATGTCTCGAATTGCGCTTCCCCAGTGTGCCTTTCTAGAAAAAAAGGCATTGTAATGTCTTTCGCTGGAACTTTTTTTTTCTCGAGCTGAAATTCCCAATGAGCCAATGGAAGCCATGCCAGGGAATTGCATCGCACACTGTACTTCACTGAAGACATTTCGGTATCACAGAAGAATTAATACAAAACGCATCTTCGATGTCTGTATTAAATTAACTTCCCCATTGACTAACAACGGAAATACAAAATGAGCTCGGATGACATTCGGCCTCGGCGCACCAGTGTGGTTTTTGTGGAAATGGGTGAAAGTTCAGTGGTTTGCCGGAATTTCCAAATGCCATAAAATATAAGCATATAACATTTCATTGTTGAAATTTTTACACAAAAAATACATGTACTTCAAAATTTGTTGTGAAGGGCATGTGTTTTGTCAACAGTTATAGCATGTAAATCGGCAAATTTGCAAATGTCCGGTGACTAGTTACATCACTATTTTCATTACATGTAGGCGCACTTTTATTCGGGGTGCTTATGCATTATTCATTATAACAATGCGAGCCGGTCACATGGCTGCTCGTTTTGATTGTGGCATTTAAATAACCTTTGACCCAGTCTCCCATAGTTCCGTGCGTCCATGATGTACTGCGCGCTGCCATTTTGTGAATTTTGTCGAAACTTTTCGACCGCCGGCGAGCTTTTCCGCGTTTCTCCCTTCTGTTTCTTGTCAGACTTGGGCCATTCTGGTGGCCTTTCCCTGGGTCATGAATGCCTCTCACACGCAATGAGCAGAATTCATCCCTGAAACCGGATTTGGAGATAGGGCCGAGAAAAAGGAGGGCGTCGGGCAGCAACCACAGGAAAAGAACAAGGGACGATCTGTGCGAGTCGGGTGACGAAAACAACATCGTAATGGGGGAAGCGCCAAAACGGGCGAACTTTTCGGCACTGAGCCCGTCAAATAATGGATTTACGAGCAGAGCCTCTCCTCTAGCTAACAGCAAGCCAGGGAGCTCAAAAAAGCTCGTCATTAAGAATTTCAAAGGTGGGTTTGGGACTGGTAGGCTAACGTTAATGTGTCAGTTTAGTTTGTTTTGCCCATCACAGCTGCACAGTTCACAGTCACGACCATGTCATTTTCCACAAGCGACAGGGTCCGGTTGGAACTTGGACGGTCTCCAACCCTAGAGTGTCGTCATGTTATGATCGAGTCCAGATTGGTAGATCTGTTACCAGATCACACTCGTACGGGGCTTTGGCTGATCATGCTAAATGTTTTCAAAATCTATTCTCTGTGTCTTTTAATGGTCAACCCTCCTGGTTAGTGTTTTTAATTGGTCATGATGGTTGTGTAGAAATATAGGTATTATTACAAAGTTGAAAGTAATATTCCCCCAGAATATTTTAATGACATTGTTTAACGCGTTCATTTTACCATGTATCTCATATGGTATCCTTGCATGGGGCAACAGTAATATCATCCATCTAAATCGAATCTGACAACTTCAGAAAAAAGCAATGTAGGTAATAGGCCTAAATAATGATAATTTTCAAGCACACACAAATTCTCTTTTCTATAACTGTCGTATATGAAAAGTAAAAGATATTTATGCTCTTCAGCCAGGGATCCTTCATGTTTCAAGTTAATCATAACATTACCTAATTCGATCTGTCCATTCTTTACAAAAAATGAAGAAGTCCATCACTTTACAAGGCAATGTCATGAAATTCATTGATCATATGCACACATGATAACGGCTAAAAGAACTATAAAACATGAACTATAAAACATGGAGGTGCACAGGTAAATCCTTCAAAAAGATTGCTAGTCATCCAGTATTTAAGTATAAATATAAAAATAAATTGTCAAATAATTATCTAGAAAATGATTAAGTCTCCTTTTCTTTTACGGGGTTACATGTCATGTTATGTTATGTGTTGTTCCTTTATGTTATGTTATCATCCATCTTACTATATACATGTATATTAAAACATAAGATTATTCATATTTTACTATGTCTAACACAAAGTATGAATAACTGGGGACATCTACTTGACAAGCAATGCTTTTTAGGGGTCTCCGTCCATACAGACTATTGTCTTCACAATATATGTATCATGTGGAAAATAAAGTGAAGGTGATGTGATGTTGTGTCCTACAACAGTACAAGTAGACCTAGCCTACTTTAATTAGTTTAAATTGCCTTACATGCCGTCTGCATGAAGTTCTGAAGTAGTCTATGTTTTGGTTTGTGGTTTATGTCTTGAGGCGTGGAAATACCCCTAGAACTGTGGAACATCGGACCCCCTAGTTTGGGAGTTGCATGGAAAGTCTTCTAATGTCCATGACCGTATTGTTGCTAGTTCTCATATTTTGCCACTTACTGTGAAAACCAATCAGTCCAAATTGACAATCGGTATGATAGGTGTTGTAATTTAGGGTACATGTACAAGTACCTGGTGACTCCACGGTCATGGACATTAGGGCCTACAGATACAAGCATCACAACCTTTGCTGTGGGAGCATTAAGCAACAAGGCCTACAGTTGCCTATGTATCACAAACATGTCACAAGTCATTATGTCCTTTTTGAAAATAATACATTTCTTAGAAACTATTCAGATCCAGTTTTGTTGATGATACATGTAGAATACTAATTCTTAACTATTTAAGTTCACTTTTCTTGAGAAATTAGTCATGTAGATCATGCCAGCAGGTATTTTCAACACTTAATCACCAATGCCATGAACACATTGTCAATGCAAAGAGCATCATCTACATGTCTGTCACGTCTTTAAAGTTTACATTTTGCACTGTGACGTATTGGCAAAAAAGGAGTGTTTCCTGAAACTTGCAAGGTTAAATAATAGAAAAGTGTAGCCTTTGTTCAAGAACAGGTAGGCTAAATGGGCTTATAATACAGAACATCAGGGTAATAACAAACAGTAATTAATTTTTATTTTATAAAGAAGCATTTGTCAGTAACAAGTAGTTTTTGTGCCTAAAAACACACCAAAGGGTGCCTTTTGTTGACTGCATGTGCATGGCAAAGTAATATCAAGACATTACCTTACACCCATACTTCAGAATGGTTCAGGCCATTGTTGTTGTTAAAAGCATAAATTCTGCCATCTGGAAGTGGGATATCATTTTTTGCTCGGAAAAAAAAATCCATAATCAGGAATAACATTTTATAGTGAAACTGATCCTCTGGCCTGTGTGCCTGTAGAGCGCTATATTGGTTTCTTCTTTTTTCAATTTTATTTTAATTTGAATGCGATTTAAGGTGTTGATGGTGACAAGTTTATTGAAGCTGTGTTGACAATGATTGTTTGCGCGAAAGTCGTACATGTACGGTACATGTTACGAGCAATTTCCCTGAGAAATATGGGCGGTTTACTACGGTGCACCTCCAAGCATGCCAAGAGTTGGCAACGCATTTGCGCGTTAGGAAAGGGTTGACAGACTTGTGCACATTGTTATTGGCCAATGCATTACAAACCCTTGGGTGAATCGCCCATATTGCTCACTTGGTTGTGCCATTATCACTATAACACATCACAGACTGTAGTGTTTTTCCCAAAGCTTGCATATGCAGTGTACATGCACATGTAGTTGGACAAAATGTAGTACGTGGACCAGGCAAGCCTTTTAGGGTGATATCGATGCTGGTCACAAGTTTTTGACCTACCTGTATAATCTCATTCACTTTGGCCAACATTGGCAGTACATACATGTACATACCATGTACAGTTCTGTACATGTGTAACTTACATGTACTGTACATGTACGTGGGCACTGGCAGGCCAACAGTACTGCAGTTTCACCAGTATTGCTCATGGCACTTTCGGTATGAACTTGTAAGTGCTTTAAGATAACGCCCACACATTTGAATGGAAGTATGAAGCATACGTGTACTTGTACCTCAAGCTATGGAAAAAAACATGAGCATTGTTATCAAACATGTCAAAACAAATATACAGTGAGATCAAAACAGTACGCATACCAGAAACTTTCATTTTGCCTTCTGATTTCATTCAAATCAACAATTGCACTTAAGAGTGTGACAAAAAGGGAAAAATGTACCGATACATATTATGCATGAGGTTAGAAGTGGCAGCCAAACACCTACGTACGTACATTGTGTGTAAATAAGGGAAATTAGTAATTAATTAATGTATGGATGTATGTACATTTATGGATTTGACCAAGAGGAAGCATGGTTGTATGTAATATACGCGTACCATACATGTACAATGCATTTTGAACGAAATTAACGTGTATTATGCATTGAAGTTGGAAAGGGCGCATATATTGCCTCCTTTGTGTATGCTTTTGGGTAAATCCAGAAATTACGGGTCCAAAAGTGTGACATTTTCGTGTCCCTGTTACATCTGGAAATATCACCGGAATTGATTTCTAACTATTACTATTTGTTTGGCAGGTACTTTGCATTAATTCATCACTCTTGGAAATTAGAAAATGTGTCCTGAACTTATAAGATCACATGTCAGATGTGACAGGGACACAAAAAGGGACCCCTAATTTCTGGAATTACCCTTTTGTAAGAATCACTGGCTGCTGTACTGCCCTGCATTGCATGTTTTAAAGTCTACATACAGTGTACATGTATGATACACGTATATGCTTATGTAGTACCGGTACCCTGTGACAATTGGAGATTAGTAACTTCAGCCTGCCAAAATTTTTTTAAAAAGATTGGTTATGGTGACGATGAGGGCTGTGAGCCCATTCAGTAAATGTTTAAAAAACCCAAGGTCATTTGGGAACAAAGCTCTCGCGCTAGTCTGCGTCCAAATTAGCTCTTTCACTCTTGATTGAGGGTATGCGCTGTTGAATTGGCTCATTCCATGGTCACAGAATGCATTTTGACACGTACATGTAGGCCTGAATGTCAGAAGTGGTGTGAATACTTTGGCTAGTACAAAAGAAACAGTATTACATGTACTACTTCCGGTACATCAGGCATGAACAGTAAGAATGTTAACAATAATGGTAATGGACGATCCTATTTCATTCATTAGTGTCATTCCATCACCAACCTCATGATTTTTTGTAAATGGCCAAGTAAAATGTTTTGTTTTTGTTTGTTGGGGTGTTTGTTTGTTTCCTTTTTTGTTTTGAAAAAAAAAGTTCATTCCATTACCTTAGAATTTCCCAGTTTTCACTTGCATTCAGTACTGGTAAATTTATTATGCAAGGAGGTGCATAATATTTATTTCATTCAGATGTGCATGAAAGTGGTTGATGATAATTTTATCCCTTCAACAGTGAGGCCAGAGTTACCTGAGAACTACCAGGAGCAAACATGGCAGCGCTTGAAAGAAGCTGTGGAGGCCATCCATACCAGCCGACCCATCAAGTACAGCCTGGAAGAGCTGTACCAGGCCGTTGAAAACATGTGCTCCCACAAGATGTCTGCTGCCCTCTATGACAAGCTGAAGATAGTGTGCGAGTCCCACGTCCGTTCTCAAATTGGGCAGTACACTGGATATCCTTTTGATGCTTTGCTCTTCCAGCGAGAGCAAAATTCAAGCAGAGTTGTGGTCTGGCGTATCACATGTCAATCAAATGTCAGATTACAAGTCTGGTCACAGACAGTGGCTCGGTCATTTCTCCTCTTAAAATTGTTTTAACATGTACATGTATACTATGTACAAGCACATGGTTTGACATTGAGTGATGTGTAATCGGCTTGTGGTGACTTATGTACATGTACTTGCAACATTGGACCTGCATAGTGGATGCACAGGAAAAAGCCCTGGTCTTTTGTACATGTGTGTGCCTGTATCTCCAGTGAGTATTATGCTTAATGCACTTCTTAATAAACAATTTTCTGCACCTCCGACTTTAAATATTGAGATAGTATGTACATGTAGCATCAAAGAACGTGTTAACCTCGTAGAGTTAAAGTGTCTGTAAAATGGTGATTCTGCAAAGGTAGTGGCAGTGCACGCAAGTGTTGGTATCGATGGGCTGCGACATTCACTGATGTTTTTCTTCCTAGGATGACATTACAGTTTCTGCCGATGGATATGGAAATCATCATTTTCATAATAACCAAAAAAGGCAGCAAAATACCCTTTCAAATAGTGAAACAAAAATTGGAAATGAGGCCTGTGTACACAAAGTTGCATTTGGAAGGTACATGTACAAAAAGAAATATCCTTCGCAGGGTCCCACAAAATTTTAATGCCCTGTGTGACATATACAAGTACACTGTACATGTATAAAAACATGTTAGTACTGCCCCCAATGGGTGACACGCATACATGCACATGTACCTGGTGCATGCTGAACATTCTGGTTCAGTGATTTTGATTGGTGCATACATGTATACTGGTACATGTATCGTACATGTACGTACATGTTGTTACATACATGTATACCACTATACATGCACATTATTGCTGTTACAACACATGAACATGTTCTGGTACAGAAATCTGGTCTAGGCATAAGGATATTCTAAGTGTACATGTATAAGAGAATTTGAGAGTCAGCACTTGAAAGTTCATCAAGCACGTCAAGTGAATTTTACGCAATAATGCTTTTTGCATCAATTCTCATCCTCTGTAAAGCATTTCTATCACCGACAGTGCTTTCAATTGCAGTGTGCATGTATGTACATGTTAAATTTGTTTAGTGTGCAGAGATCTGACATGACGTGTGTATATGAAACGTACGGGTAGATGGGTTAAGTACATTTACACATGCATGCGTACACATGAATTTCTTCATAGAGTACATATATCATGTACATATTATGGAAGGACAAACTCTTGATTTTCATTCCTGTCTGAAAGAATACTGCAGGTGTGTCAAGGAAATATATTCTGGTTTATTAACATCAAATATTTAAATAAAATGGTCCTAGGACCAAAACTATTCAAATTTACAAAAATTACACATTTCATTTAAAACATTAAAATTAAAAAGTTTCATGGCACAGTCTGCGTTTGATAATTCCAAACTTATTCACCAGTAAATTACAGTATGACTTGATGTGCGTATAGTTCGTAAATGTTGGAGTTGGAAAACTGCCATTGATATTGCAAGATGCTATTAGTCATTCCAGATGGTGATGTTTTATTTAATGATAAATGTAACAGATGCTCTTGCATGGACGATGAAACCAAACCATGTTCCGTTTGGCAGTGTCCCGATGTACAATATTCATTAGCACCACCCTTAACTCTTGCTTACTGAAATGCTTGACAGCCTGTCGTATCTCAAACAGCTGAACACCTGTTGGCTTGACCATTGTAGACAGATGGTAAGTGGCCAGCTTTCTGATTACTGATGAAAATGGTGAAACGAACCACCTGCAAAGGTTCTGCTTTGCCATACTACAGTACATAAATGATGTTACACATGCACACAGAGGCACAGGGTTATCTGCACTCACAGCGGCAGCCTTTGGGTCAAAGACAAATGCAAAGATACCCTGGCATAAGGTACATGGAGGAATGGTTGCGTTCTCGTTGATGTAGACCAACTTCCCTTGCTCTTGACTCGAGGCACATTGCAGGTTCCAAGTTGGTGTCATGGCATGTTGCACACTGCTGGGACAGCACGTCATGCTCACTGTGGTTTTCGTACACCACCTTAGCACTGAAAAGAGAGAATTTGTTCCCAGTCACAGTGATTTAATGATAGGCCCTCTTCTGTTTAATGTAATTATACAACAGGGCACCTTTAGCAGTTTTTGCACCAACCATCAACATGTTCCAGGTATTTTTCTGTGTGGCACAAACATTCTTGAAGGGGATACCAAGACAGAGTAATGTTCACGTCGTTAAGCTCTGTAATGCGCAACATTACCCAAGCTGAACTTTCTGGCCTAAAATGTCTCACATGATTGCAGCTTTTATTTTGTTTCTGTGATTTATTCCCTTGACAGATCATGATCAGAAGTATATTCCTCTTCCTGGACAGAACTTACGTCCTTCAAAATTCCTTCGTTTCCTCAATCTGGTAAGTGCTGTCGCAGCTTGTGGGTGATACAACTTTGATCCATTTACGGGTACATGCACGTACAGTTGCACACATTCAGGTGCAAGTTCCGTAGTTGTGGGAAGTATAGAGTACCAAAGTGTGACGTCATTTTGAACGAGGAAGTGTAATGCATATGAATGGAGCGCATGAGCATGTTGCTTCATACCCTGATTTCTCGCGCTAATGTGTTTTACACACAGTCATGACAGTTGTGCACGTGACTTATTCACTTTGGTATCCTATACGTGTGTTCAAATGTGCGTGCACTGTAGATGTTGTGGAGACCAAAAATGTAATGGGAACAAATGTTTGTCTCCACAACTCGGTCTCAACATCGCTAACAGAAGAAAATGTCCCATCAATAAGGTTAAGGCTTACCCACACATACTGGCAGCATAGATGTAGTTGTGGGAAGCTGCACACTTGTCGAAGGGATAGCTGTTATGGGGACAGATACGTTATGGGACAAGTACCCCTGTCCTTCCTTTCCTAACAAACATGTACATGTACATATGTGTATCATGTAATTACAGTATACCAGTAGACATCAGATCCCCCCAATGTTTCACTTTTTTTTTATCACAGGCTGAAGTTTCCCCAAATCTGTAAATTCATTTCTTCCAAGTTTACATGTACCTCACAAGGAGTTGTGAATGAATTATACGTTATATCTGAATGAATTTGATTATACAGTCAGGTTGTTTCAGTTCAAGTCAATTTGTTAAGATACTAAACAATATTGGTATGAGCATGAGTAATTATTAAGAACTGATCATTTTTGAGATATCCACTTGCCCACCGCAGTATGACATCATACTTAAGCCCCTTGTAAATGTGTGTTGCACGAACGTAACTCGCAGTTTGACAGATGTGCCCCATTGGGCACCTGGCCTTGAAAAAAATGTTGACTTTGGATGACTTGAAAGTGAGTCAGTCTCAACCCTTTTCTCTAGTTCCTTCCTCCCTGACCTTGATCTCGTTATTCAACCTACTTACTGGTTTGATTCTGATTCTCCCCCAGGGACATGGGCTTGGATCTGTTCCGCACCCACATCATCAGCAACAAGACGGTCCAGCTGCGGACGGTAGACGGCCTCCTGCAGCTGATCGAGAGCGAGCGCGGGGGCGACGTGGTGGACCACAGCCTGCTCAAGAGCCTGCTGCGCATGCTGTCTGACCTCCAGATCTACCAGGAAGCCTTTGAGAAGAAGTTCCTGGATGCCACGGATCGGCTGTACGCCGCCGAGGGCCGGCAACTCATGCACGAGAGAGACGTAAGATATGACATGTTGTTATAAAGCATGTGCTGTGCATTACTTACAGGTACCTCCCTCCCCCCCCCCGGTTCTTTCGGCTGAGACATACCCTCAGCCCTTGAGCAACATTCTTCTGTCTACAGGTATCCTCTGCTACTTCTTAAATGTTTTCCTTGAAGGGGTCACGACCTTCAATATCCTCTGTATTTCCTGTTATAGTGTTGAGGCAGTGCGATGGATATCTTGGAGCAGTGTAGATGAATCCAGATACAGTCTAGACCTAACCTTATGCACAGATGGTCGTTAACAACACAGCCACATACATATTCATGTGTATTTTGCCCTATAGCCTCAACCTTCCCAATTCAGTCCAACCAAATGGAGGATGTTGGAAGATCGAGAGTGGTTAGGGTTAATGATCGACTACATGCACATGTGTAAACAGATACACTTTGATCGTGGCAGAGCACAGCCCATTCATTCCTGCACATTTCGATTCCATTTTCTGTCTCCAGTGATGCAGGGCATAACTTATTTTAGGATGAAACTTCTAGGGCAAAATGTGGAGGCTGCTTTTTATTGAGTTATGCAAGTTTGCTTGTTTCTTTTATTTTGTGAAGTCAGAAATTCCAGCATCCAAAACGTGGGCATTGACAAGAAGTTGCACAGCCGTTACCCGAGGAGTTTAATGTAAACGATCGGGTGCATTGAATAGTGGGCAATCAGTTTGGCGCACACTTTTCAAAAAAATTGTTCTCAGAACTTGCTTAAAACCATTACATTTGAAGAAAGGTGACCGCACCAGTGGAAATTACAGCCATTTCTTTAGGTCACCATGTACAATTTTCCTCCTGTGGCCAGGTCCCTGCATACTTGGCGCACGTCGACCGGAGACTAGAGGAGGAATCACAGCGAATCATGTACTACTTAGACCATACCACAAGGAAACCGCTTATAGCCTGTGTAGAAAAACAACTACTGGAGACCCACATCTCAATGATTCTTCAAAAAGGTGGGTCAGAGTTCTCTGTCTCTGTTCTATCTGTGTCAATCCTGTTCATTGAAAGTACTTAGTCAATGCATCTCTGGTACATGCCGGTAGTTCAACTCAATTCTTAATCTGCCTAAAAAATATCACTGTGCTCGTGAAGCTGTCAACTAGTTACTGAATCATTTTCTCACCATGTTCAGGTCTGGATGATCTGCTGGATCTGAATAGGACCCAGGACCTGGCCCTCCTCTATAACCTGTTCCAGCGCACCAAGTCAGGCCTGATCGAGCTCTGCCTATACTTCAGTGCCTACATCAAGGTCAGTAATCACTTTCTTAACTTTACATGAACCTTATACCGCCAGTTATTTCATATTTATGTTTCACTGATATTTTGTTCTGTCAGAGTTACTCAAAATTAATCCTCAAATGCCACAATTTACCAGAGTAGTAGCTTTGGTTGTTGAAATGGTCAGGATTGCAGTTCACTCATTTGAAAGACATTAACGCTGCACAAGATTCAAGAACGATTTTCCCATTCAGGTGTGAACAGGAAACAAAGTGCAGCACAACACAGCTTGCTCAGTGGTCTTCACATTCAGTGCAACGTGTCTCAGCGTAACGCAGCCATGTCCATACTTTTACAACTTGTATAATGTCTTACATGTAGTGGTGTCAATGCACTTGCGTGTGGGCGTGCGCGGTGTTTATATGTTTACACTGTGAGTAGTCTTCTGCGTCATTAATTGTTAAAAGCATCCAGCATTGGTCACGGTGTTGCTAGGGTTTGATCCTATTCTTGTCATGGAAGTGCACCATTCACTTACCGGTAGGGGAGGATTATTGGTTGCATAACCCACTGATCAGTTGTGGCAAAAAGTGCATTATATAAAATATAGTCTGTCAAGTTCTGTGTGCCGTTTACGAGTGCAACTTTAGTTGGACCAATGAGCTTTAGACCCTTTGACTTGACTGCGAAACGTTGTGTGGTAATTTTTTTTTCTGTGCACAGAAAACAGGCACAACTATCATCATCAATCCGGAAAAGGACAAGACCATGGTACAAGAGCTGCTGGACTTCAAGGACAAGATGGACAACGTCATGACAGAATGCTTCGCTGATAACGAGAAGTTCCAGAACACGCTGAAAGAGTCGTTTGAGAGCTTCATCAACAAACGGCTGAACAAGCCCGCCGAGCTAGTCGGTAAGGGGTTCATGGGGCTACGTATGGGGACATGTCACAGCATTGGTGGATAAATGAATGATTAGATCACATGAACAGCCGTATACGATCATCATTTTGTTCATGACGTGTGAGGTGGCTGGCTTGAGTTTTGAATTAGTCTCAGTGGATGTGGAACCAGTGGATAAGGTGATGATAGCTGTGGATATGAGCTGATAGTTTTAGGCATGGAAATCATGGATTGGAAAATAAAGATGTGGAGGTTGTAGCACTGAAGTTGTGGACATGATACACATATTTGTGGATGTAGAAGTCTGGGCATCACAGGTTTGGCTGTTGGAGTGTGGATGTGATGTGAATGTGATAAAGTTTTGCAGTTGTAGATGTGGAAGGTGTGGATGCAACTCCTGTGTTAAAAAAATAGTAGTGGATATTCTTACGCACACAGGTATCTGCTTTGCTTTCTCTAATTTTTTACTTGCAGCCAAGTACGTGGACAACAAGCTGCGAGCCGGCAACAAGGAAGCCACAGAGGAGGAGTTGGAGCGGTTGCTAGACAAGATCATGGTCATCTTCAGGTTTATCCACGGTAGGTTCAGGAGTGAAAGGAACTCCACAATTTCTTCTTCATCTGGTCATTTTGTGAAGTAGTTCATAGCTGCTAGTTGAATTTGATTGGTTGGATATGGGTTGGGATGTTGTACCCATTTTTGCCATACAGAACTCAGAAAGCAAAGTTTTTACCATCCAGCCTCGTTGCTTCAGAATGTTTGAGTTCGTGCACCCACATTGAGTTTTATTCTTTTATTAACCAATGATGAACGGCACCCACTGTTGATCCTGGTTTAAGATGCCTGTAAGTGTAGAAAGAGCTGCCGTTTATGCAGGTTGCCGTTTTTTGTGTCACTGTTATAGCAGTGTGCATGAAGCAGTTCATCAAATCACAGTCCGTCATACCTTAGAGGACAAGGCATTAGTTTTCACATGTTGCTGTGTTATTTTATCTCATCAGGCAAGGATGTGTTTGAAGCCTTTTACAAGAAGGACCTGGCCAAGAGATTACTAGTTGGCAAGAGTGCATCGGTGGATGCTGAGAAGTCCATGTTGTCCAAACTTAAGCAAGGTGGGTGCTCCGTCACCACTTGTCCTCAACTCTGTCAAGGTTTTTGACTGAAGTCTCTGACACTAAGCTGGCCATTCATTGCATAACTCCCCCCTCCCTTTACCAGCAAAGAAGAGGAAAAGTGAAGATCATGTGTTCGTTTAAACAGTAGGCATGGCCCAATAAGACACTGTGGCTAAAGTAAAATGGGTCACCCCTGAACACACACAGCCCATACTTGTGTCAAATTACATCTCGGAAAATGACGTCACTACACCTCATGAATATTCATAAGCAAATCGGAGCACATCATTGGCCGATATCGCCGCACACACATGAAGTGAAATTGATACGCACGCAGGTGTCGTCATCCCGGTGAGTATCCTGCTCACTGCCATGCGGTAGTTTTTTTCTAACAGCACCAAAATCCCTCTGAAGCCCATCTTGTAGACATGTAGCCTGTGACATGTAATCTTAATGGAGCCATTCTGTTGTTGTCCTAGCCAGACATGCGGATCTCTGCAGCTTAGAAACAAATTGGTTTTTTTTGCCTTGAATTTGTTTTTATGTCAATTTGCCCGTGGATAGTTTTATGAGGTGAGGTAAAACAAATACAGCATGGTTTATTTCAGCAAAAATGATGTGAATTACTGATTCCGAGATGTAGGTCAGCTAGACTACCTCCTGATGCAAAGTTGAGGGTGATAGTCAAGCTGACGTACGGTACTCCAAGGGACCAGTAATCCCACAGTGCTTCCCCTCAAGTCATGCTGTGTTATACGCTCCTGTATTGTGACATTGCAACTCATTGCAGCGACCATATGCAGCAAGTTATGAGACGGAGAGAA